GGACTAGTCCAGACAATCGCCAGGAGTCAACACTGATTTGAAGGCGTGCACACACTCAAACAAGTAAATACTGAACATCTAGATATTTCATTTTACAGTGATAAGAGATGGGTTCAGATCTGTTCATCTTTTTCCCCCCCCCCCAGTTTTGTGGCTATGTCCAAGAGGGAACATTAGGACTTTTTCTGTATATATGTACTGCCCAAACTCTGTTTTTTTCTAGGGGAAATGCCACCAGAGAAATTATCTAAGATGTATAAAGGTACTTCTTACTGTTTTTGGAAATGTGAAAAGCATGAAGGGACATTTTACCATGCATGGTGGACTTGTGAAAAAATATTGGATTCAAATACACATGATGATACATAGAATTTTAAAAATTAATATTCAGATGAAACCAGAATTTTTCTTACTAGCACTTATGGATAATCAATTAGAAAAGACCCATGGATGATTGGTTTTATATTTGATAACTGCAGTAAGGTTATTATACGCACAAAGATGGAAAATACAAAAATACCTACAATGGAGGAGTGGATCCTGAAGATGGTAGAATTTGCAAAAGTGGCTAAATTGACTTGTTTGATTAGAGAAGGAACAACTATTACTTTCAGAAAAAACTGGAAACCTTTTATGGGCTTTTTGTTGAAAATGGATAAAAATGAACTGGTGATTTCTGGATTTAGCAATTAAAAAGGGCTGTATATGGGAAGAAAGGAACTATGTTATGTAATTTTGAAGAGGGGAAATGGTATCATGTATGTTTATAACTGCTGTAAAGAAGATCAGAAGTCGCTTCTTTAAGTATCTTTTTTTCTTTTTTCTTCATCTCTTTCTTTTTCTTTGCTCTGTTTTGTTTTCAACGCTTTATCTTTCCTTTCTTAATTTTCTTCTATTTTCTGTGTTTAACTTTGTAAAAAAAATCTATACTTTTACACATACTCATGCTCACTCATATATACACACTGTTTTTTCTAGGGGAAATGCCATTACCACTATAACTGTTTTTCTATTATTTTGTCAGCAATTTTCCCTTCACTGTTTTTTTCTAGACCACTATTGTGGTCTTTTCCATGCCTACCCACTGTGCTGCAAATGTTCCTTAGCTTCTTACCTTAAAATAACAGGTAGCAACCTTTCATATTAACAGTTGCTCTTGGTTCAGCAAAATAAAGAATTGTGACTTTTAAGCAACTTTCCTGCCTCTCTGAGGTTGCACAAAATTAGGTTTTTGATTCCCTACTACCCATCCTTCTATCATGTCTGACCTGCACTAGCAAACCAACCATTGCCTTGGGTTTTCTTAGGCTAACACTCATTAACCTCTGAGGTGGCCCTTCTTTCAGGGCTGTTATTACTGATTTCCCAATCCTACATTGTTAAATTTTTAAATTAAGGTAAAAATGTTAAATTTTAAATTAAGGTTCACCCCCACCCAGGTGAGAAGGATTGCAGCAACCTACTTTGGCTTGTTCACAGTTAATGGTTAGATAATGATTTTATCTGACTGCTTTTAACAGCCAAGGAGCAAGATGAGATTCCACAATGCTGATGGGTATAATGGACTGGAAGTCATAAAACCGTATTGTAGGTGCCAATCCATTAAAATTTTAAGTTGGTCTTAGAACTGATAAGGATTACAGCTATCTATCCAATTAGTTTGGAAGAAAACAGCAAACAAAGCACATGCATTGATATCTCACTTGGACAATTGGTACTAACTATATTAAGCTATATAAATCACTGTACATTAGTAAAGGCCAGTTTTCTTATTGCAAGAACACTTTATTCTTCATGTGTAGCAAAGAGTAAGAATTGCTAGGCATTTCATCAGGTGTTATTAAGTTGTTTTGGTTTTCATAAAGCCTTGTTATTTTTGCTGTATGCCCTGTAACTGAAGTACTGACATTGATCTGGCCTAACTTAACTTGCAATATCTGTATTTGGGTAAAATGTCTGTTAATCATTAGAGTTCTTCTCTTGTTTTCATGAAGTCTGTGTTTTATGTCTGTAAGACTCCAAAAGACCTTCAAGTCTTAAAGAGGAACAATCTTTCCCAAAGAGAGATCTGTGTTGGGCGCATAAGTTGATGTTTAGACAGGGATCTGAACAGCCACATTATTAGGAATGACATGAATCCTCCAAGTTTAATCTGGATGGGGTTGAGGAACTAACCCAGCTTTCCAGCGTTTGGGGAAAAAGTGATTTATTAGAGACTATACCAGTGAACATTTGACATTTCTGATTTATTAGCTCTTTCTCTTTGGCTTTAAAAAGGGAAATGCTGAACCAGTCAGTCAAAACATTTGGTTTGTCTGGAGGTAGTTAATTAAACTCAGCAACCAGCATTCATGTTAGGTTTATTTTAGTGGCCACCCACTGGGAAACCAACTTTTGCATGGCGTCATTACAGTGTCAGATCTTCCATAATTTCTCCAGTGAACCATTCCTTCTTAGTGGAACAACTGAGCTGAGACATTATCTCATGATGAGTGATTAGCAAAAGCCTACAAGGAGAACACAGCTACACAGGACCAAGGTGCCATCTAGCTCTACAAGCCGATTCCTGGCCAATCATTTTATAATTGTTATAAATCAAACATGAAAATGTCTATTTTTTTGGTTACACTTCATGAATTAGGTGCTATCAAATTAGGCTATATACAAATGCTCACGTTCTTGACACGTCTTGCATTCTAGCATTAGTAATCACTCTCTGTGAATGTAGAGGTTCCATTTAGCTACTATGCTTAATTCACCTTCTGAAATTTATATCCTCCATGGATTTGTATAATCCTGCTTAAGCTTCTGGCCCATCCCTAAATCTTGTAGCAGTGAGTTTCACAAGCTTACTTACGTGCTGAATAGAAAAAGTGCTTTTCTGTAGAACTCAAACCACCTGACGTTAATTGAATTATACAAGTTTGTGCTGTTTAATGTAACTTGAGTTGGGAAAGAGAATTATATGCCTCATAATTTACTCCACCTTCCCCCTTAAGCAGTTTTTCATCCCCAAATGCCTCAGAACATCATCAAGTGATTTAATAATCTTCCCTTCTCTCGGAAACGCATCCTTGCTAAAGGCTTGCTCCTGCAAACTAATGTTTTGAAGCTCAGGGGCAGCCAGAGGTGAAAGGAACGCTTTCTGCATGATGGCTTCTGTGGTCATTGTGGAGTCATAGCCAAATTAACACTTGCTACTTTCTTCCATTGCATCATGGGTTCCCCGCCTCTCTACCACTCTTCTCCTGCAGCTGCTGGCAAAATACAGTGTGAAGAGTCAGTCATTTTCTCTGTGTGCTTCATTGCTCTAAATCCTGTTCTTAAATCATCCTTTTATCTGGGCAATCAGAGACTGAGAGTATTATGTCAGATGAATAGTGTCAGGCTGCCAGGTTGTTGGTAATAGATTCACTTTCTTTCTATGTGCTTTGACACTGAAACATATTTATGGAAGGATGGAAATGACTGTATTGCTCAAATGTAGGTACAGTGTACACAGATAAAAGAACATCAAGAGAACTTTAGAACACGGAACAGGGAAATGGGCTTTAAATCTTTTTATCTTGAAACTCAAGACAACCAGGAATTCAGCACACAAACAGAAAATAGAAGGGAGATAATTGCTCCTTGTTGAATCTAGCAATTTTGTTTTAAAGCAAGCAAGCAAGCCAAAAAAAAAAAGAAGGGTTGTATGTGGGTGGGAATAAACAGTGTACTTGTGAAGAAAAAGATACATTTTGGAAAGACTCTACAACTTTGTAGAACTGAGTACTTTATATTTTGTTTATTAACATGAGGCAGTGCATGAAATGGAATAAAGCAATTATTTTCACTATTGAAACTAGGGGGAAAATGGCACTTGAAAGAAATTTGCTTAATATATAAAGTTCAGTTGGTGTGCATTCGTTTTGGTGAATGTCTTAGAGCAGGAACATTTTAACCTATTTCTGTGAGTGAAACTTCTTTGCTCAGTTTGTATGTTGAAATTTATTTTCTTTGGCGGGGAGGGGAAATCAAATTAAGTGAACAATGTTTGACCAAGAAGTTGATCTGTTTATAGTCACAGTTACAGTGTAGAAAAGCCGTCTCAATAAAAATCTTCAAATTAAATGTCCCATAATGTCAATCTCTCTAGGTAGACCAGACCAGACAGGAAGATTAAAACTACACTTTTTTGAGATGGGCCGTAATAACAGAATCTTGCAAGTCTGACTGTGCTCTGTCTCCCCTCCTTACATGCAGTGGTTCAGGGGGGTGTTTGCTTGAACTGCTTCCAAATATTACCTTGTTTCACAGGGTTAAAGAATGCTTCAGCCCACTTTGCCTGTGTAACAATTCTTGCATATTTCTGTCAGGGTCACCTCTCTCATTCTCTACGTGTAATTGCATAAGTTCAAAAGTTAAAATAGTGCAAATCAAGCATAGTACCAGGTATAGAGTACAATTGTGAAAAGGTACTTTTCAGTATATGGTTCATAAAGCTATGTATTAATTATTGTGTTGTTTCCTCTTTGGTTTATACTTGTGGTCAACAGCTTTATCAAGCCTTGGATGCCATCATATGATGCACCCAACCCACCTGCCAAAGTTCAGCTTGTAAGATCTCATGTGAGAATTCTGAAATTTCATGAGGTCCCATGTGAGATTTTGCCATACTCCTGTAATTGAATTTTAGAGGATCATGGTTGTATTTTTTTGGAGGCAACAGATGCTATGGTGCCTGTGGACTCCATATTGTTGACTTCTGTGATAGGAAGGCAGGAGGGTTACAAATGGAAGATAATTTCTGGGCTCTTCTTTAAATTCCATGAATAAGGAAGGAGAATTGCACCCACACAAAAAAATTTATGTGGAAGCACTCACTGTTTCTAAGCTACATAAAATAATGTGTATGCCTTTTTTTTAAATTTTAGCTGATTAAAATTTAGTAATCATGTTTAGTAACATTTGGCATATGTTAATTTCTCTTCCTTTCTATTTTCTATGTTTCCATTTAGGCCTTGAATAGAGGTATTGCGGCTGTTAAGGAAGATGCTGTAGAAATGCTAGCCAGCTATGGGTTGGCATACTCACTTATGAAGTTTTTCACAGGTCCAATGAGTGACTTCAAAAATGTGGGTCTGGTTTTTGTCAACAGTAAGAGAGACAGAACCAAAGCAGTTTTGTGTATGGTTGTAGCTGGTGCCGTGGCTGCTGTATTTCATACCTTGATAGGTACGTTTGCTTCACAATTCCTGTTGAAATTGTACCTCTGCTTAGATGATTGGCTGATCCATTACTACTTCATATTCAAATATCCAGTTTCCTTAGATATTTGTCCATCATAATTTTAGACAGAACTGGGACTTCCCTGCCCTGCCCTTTAGATTTTGATCAAAGTCGTGCCTCTTGGCCGAGGGTACCTTCATGTTGTCACCAGTAACAAAATATGACTTATTTGGGTTTCAAGCTTGTTCCTGATCCCTATCTCTGTCTAGCTATTTAAACATGCTTGAAGAGAACTATTGAAAAACTTAGTGCTTACTTTATGTCAAAATATCACTAACTAAAATTCTTAAAACAATGGGTTTTTCAAACTATCTCCAAAGCCTATTCTGGTCTTCATGTTGTAATAATAATAAATTTATAAGTAGAGAGAAGTCGGAAGAAATTCAGATGAAGTGGATAAGAAACAGGCATTAAACCATTGAAATGAAGGGGCTCCATGTCACAATAGTGGTACAACATTGGTATCCAGCATTGGTATAGAAGAAAGAATGAAGTACTGTTCACTAATTTGCACATATTTTACCTTAACATTTATTTATTTGAAATCATTTTCAACTGCCTTTTAAGGTAAGGCAAAACCTCAAGGTTGCTTACAGGATTAAGAAATTAAAAACAAAACTTGCTAGAGCATCAAAAATTAAACATGAAAGATAAAAATGAGCACCCGTGCTACATAAGTGATAACATTCTTATCCGTGTCACACATTTCCTCAAATTATGTTAGTGTGAGAAGATTAACTGATGAAGCATTGAGGTGGTGTGCCACATTTGATGTGGTGGCTTTCATCATGCTAGTATGAAATCATTGTTTTTCCAAATTGCTGATGTCAACAGTTGGTTAGAGAATGTAATCAGAATCACTTGGGGATATTTGTCAGTATAAATTCAGTACTCAGTTACTTGATTAGATCTTTGAAAGCAACTAATATTTACTTAAAGAAAATTTGTCCTCTGGATTCAACATAATTTTTCAACTTAACCCTGAATCTCCTTTGATTTCATAAATACGTTTCTTAGAAGAATAACAAAATATTTTTAAGGGCAGTAATAACTTAGAGGATAGCAGCTTTTTGAAAAATATGGTAACCAACCAAACCTTATGCACGTATTTCAATCCTGGTTTGATATCATAAAACATTTGTCCCAGCTCCCAAGAGAATAATTAGGGAGCTAAGATAGGACAATATCATCTTCCAGCGACCCTGGAAGACAAGATGGATGAGAAGAGATAGGGAGAAGAGTGAATGAGCTGAGTAAAAATGAGTGAAGAAGAAAAAAGGAAGTACTGTAACAAACTTTGGCAGCCTTCTAAGCAGTGAGTTTTTGTCTATCAAAAACTGTCATCATCTCAGATGGAAAAGAACTCATGTTTCCTTTTATCCTAAGACACCCAAATTATTAAATATCACTGCTTTTGCTACTTATTACTGTTATTCAGTAGTACTCCTATGTTATTGTTATTCTTATTATTCTGCAGCATATAGTGATCTGGGATACTACATCATTAACAAGTTGCATCATGTTGACGATTCTGTGGGAAGTAAAACACGCAAGGCCTTCCTTTATCTTGCAGCTTTTCCTTTTATGGATGCCATGGTGAGTTTACAACAGAGATTACATCCTTGCTCTTGGAGATCTTGTAAAATAGATAGCTATTTTTTTTATTCAGCTATGGTTTATGTAGCTTCCATAGTTGGTTCCAGAAAAGTCAGTTAATTCCATCTTCTTGGCTTTTTTTTTTTTAGTGCAATCTCAGACTTCTATAAAAGCTTGTTTATAAGACAGCTGCCTCACTATCTCTCATTTATTTCATAAGTACTTGTTATATAAACCCTGGATTTAATGGACCTTACTTGAGTGGACTTTGGATACAGTAGTCAAAATCTGTCTGACCACTGTACATGACTGTGCATATGTAAAGTTCTGTTTGGATTTAATGGTCATCTGCTTTAGTAAGCACTGTTTATCCCCAGAGTCCATTCATTTGAGGGCTTACTGTAATTTTGAGAAGTTAACTCTCTCCAATTACTCTGGTCACGCTCTACAACTGTCATCAAACGTATGACCATGCTCCACCCTCCCAGTCAGATTAAAGAGTTAGCTTATGTTCCAAACAATAATCAATTAAATAATTATACATAATTTATTGATACTAATGTTTAAAATATATCCGTATCCATAATTCATTTTGTAAATGACTGATTTGTATTCTTGTGGAAAATGCCATAACTTTTTCTACACATGCATCCCCAGATAATGATGGTGTGTAACCATTGTAATTACTGACTAGTGGTCATTGCTAGGGAGGATAAAAATTGTAATTGAACATCCAGGAGTTCAAGGCTAAACAATGTTAACCTGCCACAATGCTTTATGATTAAAAAGCACATTTTGCACTGAATCATTTTCCCATCCTAATACACAGTATAATAAGATTGAGTTCAGCCGTTGGTAAGGAGAGAGAGAAATGATGACTTTTAGTGCTCCAGAACCATTCCAGCAAATGCTGTGGTTGTGTAATCTGTATTCATTTCACTGGTATTCCAAAATTAAAAGTCATCCCAATTCATGATCTACTATTTTTCTTCCTTTTGTCAGGCTTGGACACATGCAGGCATTCTTCTGAAACACAAATACAGCTTTCTGGTTGGATGTGCCTCTATTTCAGATGTCATTGCTCAGGTAAGAATTTGTTCCAGTTACAACTAGTTCTGCTTCAGAAAGTGTCCAGTTAAATCAACACCATTTCCATGCTTGAAACTGTTAATTTATATGTTTGAAGACACATGAATTGATGCTGATGTTTCTGGGCCACTGGTTCCTGAATATCAGCAATAAGGAACTGATACGTGTGTATGTGTGTGTGTATCATATATATATATATGTTTGAGATATATAGATAGATAGATAGATAGATAGATAGATAGATAGATAGATAGATAGATAGATAGATAAAAATGAATGAATGAATGAATGAATGAATGAATGAATGAATGA